TGATGACTTGAATTTCTTCAAGTAACAGCAATGGTCCATCTTGCATCTAGTGTACCCATTCCGCTGCATGAAACTGTCAAACTTCAAGTACCACTGTCTGGGAGCTTGCTTCAGTCCGTATAGACTTTTCTTGAGTTTGCACACCAACTTTTCCTTACCACTCACTGAGAAACCTATCGGTTGAGCCATGTAAATGTCTTCTTCAAGGTTGCCATGAAGAAAAGCAGTCTTCACATCCAGCTGCTCCAAGTGTAAATTTTCAGCTGCAACGATACCAAGAATCAACCTGATAGTGGTCATCTTCACAACCGGGGAGAAGATTTCATTGTAGTCAACCCCTTTTTTCTGTTGGAACCCCTTGACAACTAGCCTGGCCTTGTATCTTTTGCTCCCATCTGCTTCATCTTTGATTCTGAAAACCCACTTGTTCTCCAATGCTTTCTTTCCCGGTGGTAACTTGACTAAGGACCAAGTTTGGTTCTTGTCAAGTGAATCTAACTCATCTTTCATGGCCTTCTTCCACTGTATGGAATCTCTTACAGCCAACGCCTCTGAGTAAGATTCTGGCTCTCCATTCTCGGTCAGCAATAGATAATTTGCTGAAGGAGAATACCTGTTAGGAGGTCTCCTGATTCTGGTGGACTGTCTGATGTGTGGAGTAGCTGCCTCTGAACTCCCACTGTCTTCATCACTCCCACTATCTTCAGACATTCCTGTATCTCCTGAGCTCCCACTGCTCCCTGAGCCTCCAGCCGTCTCATCACAACCGACCGGTTGTGCTATGTCATCTTCAGTCATCCCTTCAAACACCACTTGCTGTTTGTTTTCTGGTTGCTTGCCTTTGCTTGTTCCTGCTGCAAGACCATCTTTATAAAGAGCATTCTCGTTGAAGGTGACATCTCTACTTCTGATAACCTTCTTGCTTTGGTTGTCCCAGAACCTGTAGCCCATGTCATCCGACCCGTACCCAATAAAGATACACTTCTTTGCCTTTGCCTCAAGCTTGTCACTATCTGCATCTCTGACTTTGACATAAGAAATACAACCAAAAACTTTCAAGTGATTAAGAGATACCTCACGACCTTTCCATTCCTCTTCTGGAATTTTGAAACCAATGGGAGATGAGGGTCCTCTGTTGATCAAGTATGCTGCTGTGTTCACTGCATCGGCCCAGAACATCTTGGGAAGTCCTGCATGCAATCTCATGCTTCTGGCCCTCTCATTCAATGTTCTGTTCATCCTCTCTGCAACACCATTTTGCTGTGGTGTTTCTGGAACCGTCTTCAGCATTCTGATCCCCTGTTCAGCACAATACTCTACAAACTCTGTGCTACTATACTCACCCCCATTATCACTCTTTAAACACTTAATTTTGAGATTTGTTTCATTCTCAACTGCAGCTTTGAACTTCTTAAAAGTCTTAAAGACATCGGATTTATTTTTAAGAAAATAAACCCATACCTTTCGTGTAGAGTCATCAATGAATGTAACATAGTAGCGGGAACCTCCAATTGAAGAGACCTTTGTAGGTCCATAGACATCTGAATGAATCAACTCCAGCCACTCAGTCTTGGGTTGTTGTCCTGTCTTCACAAAGGTTACCCTCTTTTGTTTGCCTAGAACACATGGCTCACAAAAGGTCAACTTTGAATTCTTCAAATCTGGGATTTTGCCCTTTGAAGACAACATCTTCATTCCATTCTCACTTATGTGCCCAAGTCTTTGATGCCACAAAGTAGAGATCCCTGTATCTTCAACTGCTGCGTTTGCTCCATCTGTAGACACTTCAACCATGTACAGTGTACCATGCTTTCGCCCACGAGCAATGACCAGCTTTCCCTTTGTTACCTTCCATTGCTTGTTGCCAAAACTAACGTTATGGCCTTCCTCATCAAGCTGTCCTACTGAGATCAACATCTTCTTCAGGTCTGGAATATACCTGACATCTTTCAGCCTCCAGGTTGTACCCAAAGTGGTACTGAGATCAACATCCCCAATACCCGTGATCTCCAGGGATTTATCATCCGCCAAACGAACTCTTCCGCCATAGGGCCTGAAATTTTTCATCAAATCCCTGCAATGACAAGCATGAAACGACACACCTGAATCCATGATCCAGGACTCAACTGAATTCTCAACGCTGCAAATTAGAACATCTTCATAATCCTCTGCCACATTCACCTCCTTCTTGCCTTTGTCTGCTGGGGCTTTTGGGCACTGATTTCTGAAGTGTCCATTCTCCTTGCAATTCCAACAATTGATGTCCTTCCTGTTCTTGGATTGACCCCTCTTCCTCGACTTTGATCTTCCCTTCTTGTTACCCCCTTTAGTGGATTTTCTGCCCCTGTCTTCAGTACTCAACAAACTATTGGAGCTATCCCCCGAACTTCTCCTCCGGATATCCTCACCAAGGATTAAGTCACGAATACCTTCAAAGGTAAGCTTAGTGGTTCCAGCCGAACTACTAACTGCTGTGACTGTACCGGACCAACTATCGGGCAAAGATGATAACAAAAGTAGTGCTTGAACTTCATCATCGAATTTAATCTCAACCGAGCCTAACCTGGATATGATTGAATTAAACTCGTTGATGTGATCTGTCACGGATGCACCTTCCTTCATTCTTGTATTCACCAACTGTCTGATTAAGAAAACCTTGTTGGCCGCTGAGGGTTTCTCGTACATGTTGGATAACGCCTTGAGCAGTCCAAACGTTGTCTTCTCGTTGACGATGTTGTAAGCAACGTTTTTCGCCAACGACAACCTCACCACACCAAGAGCCTGTCGGTCCAACAAGTTCCACTCCGCCTCCGCCATCGTCTCTGGCTTGTTCTCAGACAAGGGTAGATGAAGCTTTTTCTGGTAGAGATAATCCTCGATTTGCATCTTCCAGAAAGCGAAATCTTGACCATCAAATTTATCGATCTTAACCTTCCCTTCGTCAGCCATAGCTCTGATACCAGTTGTTAATAATCACGATTAGGCTAAGATAAACGATAAATTTAAAGCAAGAACACAAGAATTTACGTGGTTCACGCAATCGGTGTGATTACGCTAGTCCACGGCGAACGAGAGAGAGATGTATTATTATTTCAGCTTCTGGTGTGTTTACAGATACATTAGGGATGTTTAAATAGGTTTAAGAAAGCCTAAATAAGGGTTAAGGCCGCAGGCCCAAAAATTAATTCTGTCATTAATTTTTCCCGTATACTCGATCGAGTATACATACATACTCGATCGAGTATAGATTCCAGAATTCTGCCCGAGTAGTGTTTTAACACATACTCGACCGAGTATACCTCCATACTCGATCGAGTATAAACTCCAGAATATAACCCGAGTAACCCTTACACGCATACTCGACCGAGTAATGATCAATACTCGATCGAGTGTAGAAACCAGGGAAATACTCGACCCATCAAACACCTCATACCCGATCGGGTAACCCAACATACCCGGTCGGGTACATACTCCTGCAATCCAAACAAGGCTCCATCTTCAACACGATCTTCTTTTAATAGTCCTAACTTTTCGTTATTTATGAATAATCCAACTTTTGCACCTCATCTTCATTCACTGGTCCCTGACCGGTTGATGACCTGCTATTCTAAGTTATTTTCTTATCTCTGCAAACTATTATACCAAAAATATTACCTTTCATAAAGATAATATTTTGCGTAGATAAGAAAATCAGGTCATCAACCGGTCGGGGACCAATGAATGAAGATGAGGTGCAAATGTTGGATTATTCATGAATAACGAAAAAATCGGACTATTAAAAGAAGACCGCTGAAAGTTTGGATTATTAGTTTCCTTTTTCCCATTTAATTAAGGTAGGTAGATAAGTATTGGACACACTTTGTGCAATCGATTATTTCCTCTTCATCTTCAGTAATAAACTCAAGTGCTCAGCGATTGATTTGAAAGAATTAGGAGAAATGTGTCGATGTAGTACATCAAATTGTAAGCAGAGGAGTAAAGAGTACATCATTTTGCAAGTGTGTTTGAGAGGTACATGAAATAGCTAAATCAGTGCTAATTGAGTCCATCTGTGTATTAGAGCACTTAAAACGCCTAGGTGGCAAACGGATTAGTGATAGGGCATACTTATGGTTGAGCCGCATACCGTCCGTTTGGAGTGCAACCCTGGAGCCGCATGCCTATGGTTGACCGACGATCCTCATGTTGACTGACAAGCTCCCAGGTCAGGCGGATCTCCTTCGTAGGTTGCGGGCTCTGATCTGTGGTTCGTCGACGGTCTCATGGCCGAACTCCCTGGCCAGCGCTACTCCAGGTCGTCACTCCTACGCAGGTGCGGGGCGACGGCAACCTCGAGGTCGGCATCAGGCTGACGTCTTCTCTCCAGGCCGGCACCTTCCTTGTCCGATGAGCAATAGGTCGGCCTCAGGTCGCGGCGGCCCCAGTGGATGATGGCTTCCAGGCGGCGATATGTTCCAGGCAGCGGCGCCGCTGCCTGAGATGTCTCCGGCGGCTTCAAGGAGACAGATCCAGGAGATGTCGGCGGCTTCCAGGTGGAGATGGCTTCCCAGGCCGGCGGCCAGCTCTGGGCAGAGACGGGTTCCAAGGCTGGAAGTGCAGCATCCCGTCGGTCGGGTCGTGAATCCCCAGCCAAGCCGACGGAAGTCCGATGCAGCCTCTGTGATTTAGAAGACCGCCCAGTGATACGAGCAGACGAAGTCCATACACATGGACCGACAAGGTTGGACGGCAGAAGGGGCCAGCGACTTGTTCTTCGCCTCTCACTCCTACGGCAACACCCGCGGCGGCGGCACACCCCCTCTGGCCGAGTGACGACTCTGTCTCGCCTCTATGCCTGTCAGTAGTAGATGGGAGGTTTGGTTGGCTGGTCAGTTCCAGGGTATGGAGGGGGGCCGAATGTTTTGCAACAGGGATGATGAGGTGGCTTTTATTTTACCCTATCCCTAATCTGTTTGCCACCTAGGCGTTTTAAATGTTCTAATACACAGATGGACTCAATTAACACTGATTTAGCGATTAATACTCTTTACTCTCCAGCTTACAATTTGAGGTACTAAACCGACACTTTACTCAAAGAATTAGGGTAGCGTCTTCTCTCCCTTCTTTGCATTCAAGGTCGTTTACTCATTCATTTGTTGGTAAATGTCGTTAATTTTGTTTTTAAACATTGAAATACTTCTATTATTGACTGCGAGTTTTGAATTCCATTGCTCTGCTCTTGCATTTTTATCTAAACTTAGTTCCTGTTGGTATCCCCTTGGCCCCTTGTTTTATTCTTTCAAATTTGATATATGCTGTAAAAATACGTTCCCAGCTCGTGGCTTAGTATTTGGTGTGGCAGCTGAGAATCTGAAATTGATGTCCCATATGTATTTATATCAATATATATATACATAGAGAGAGAGAGAGGAATGATCCTCCTCAGTCATCAAATTGAGGCTTTTATCAAAGTAGGATACTCTTCACTCGCTTAGCTCATATGTTCTTGTTTGTAGGAAGAATAGAGTAGTAGTAATTCATATTACAACTGAGTATCATATTTTCTTCACATCATGTCAATCAGAAATGTTGTGAACTATTTTCACTTATTGCCAAATTCAGTTAAAAAAGATGTGTAAAATAACCTTGTTGTAATGAGGTTTCACAATTATCTTTCCCTTTCTTTTGAATTCTTAAATATGAAACCTCTATGCTTCTAAAAGAGACTTAATACATAAACATTAGTCTATGAGATTAAATGCACCTTTGTATGAAATCTAGATACACCCTAAAATCAATCTTTTTAGCTGCTCATAAGTGGGTTGCAAGTATTTCATTTGAGGAGGGATCCTCCCTAAGAGAGTTTGTTAGTCAAATTAAGTATTTGCCTTAACTGGATATAGCATATCAATGAATGAGAATAACAAAAGCCTTCGATCGGACGAATTAAGGTCTGCTATCAGTTGCAATGCAATCCAATAAGTGTAAACCCATTTCTATAACCCATTTAGAACAGGGGAAACCCATTCTGACAATTGCACTTTGATCCTACAAACTTGACTGAAAGAGCTATTCTCTAAATCTTACTATACATATACGGAGTATCTAATAGTTGATGATAAAATGCTATTTCTTTAATAGTGTAGCATTTTCAAAAAAGCTATTATATTTCGCTGAAAATGACTGAGAATGCTTGAAAAAAACTATTTTTCCTTGCATGTTTTAGTAACAAATCATGTTTTAGTAAATAAGCTATCACTAAGGCAAAAAAGGCAAAGATCATTCTTAAAGTTTAGAAGCATACAATGTTAGAAGTTAGCTATGTAATACCAGCCCACACAGTTTCTTTACTTCCAAATATCTCCTATATTTTCATCCCTATTGTCTTTCCCTATAATTCTCATGCTCCAAACAGGGCCTAAGATGTTAGCTATGCTTTTAGGAATGGATTGAATTAAATTGAATTGTATCAATGTGAATTCTCGCTGCAAGATGGTTCTGTTTCAATATGTCATGAAGTTGACACCTCACATTGAAACGTTAGAGGTAAGATGTAGTTTGTTCTTATCTGTTTCGAGGTACCTTTTGTAGAGGGTGCAATTTCTCATTACATGGTAGAGAGTGTACTTTATATTTTGTAGGTTAATTTATATTGTTTGTCATTATTATGTTCCAGGTTATAACATTCATGTTTCTCGACAAACTATAGGTTATTTCATATATTCCGTAGTCATCATGTATGAAGTGAAGCTCTAAATGACATGTTTCGGTTAAGCTAATACTATGTACTAATTACTTTCTTATGAACTTAATTTTTTTGAGGTAGCCAACTAACAAAAGAGGATCATTAAAACTTTAAGATTTTTCAATCCTCTATTAAAGTCATTTTATTTAGACTAGGCACATTTCCTTGCGCATCGTGCGTACCTTGCTAGTATAAATATACAATAAATGCCACCTCTAAAGTCTAGATTCTGCTACGTTTTGAGTTAAAACTGTGAGTGAAATACGGAATTTGTAGTTCTAGATTCTCAGGTTCTAAATAGCTAGCTACAAATGACCTCAACTGTTTTTAAGGTCGTTTGCAAGAATAATGCTTTGCGGCTAGTTTGGTTATAAACTTATAATGATTGACTTTCTGGATTTCATTCGTTTATTTTCCTGGAACTCATTTCTTACATTTGAATATTCAGATCTGTGAAATAAATGCTTACATAAAAAGAAACTCGAGTCATGGTTTGAACTTATTTTGGTTCATTTAAGTATCCTAGCATTTGGTAAAGAATACCACTTCATGTTTGAAATTATTGGTTGCAGAGAATCATAGAAAGGATGCAATCTCTGAAAGACATAGTACCAGCTGCATCAAACAATATAAACACAAAATTCATTGTTTTAGACAAAGGAAGAGTGTCAGGGGATGGACAACAAAAAGCGTGTTTGGCGTTAGTTGCCGATGAGACTGCAGCCGTACATTTCCAGATGTGGGCTGACGAGTGTGATCAGTTTGAGCCCGGTGATATTATTACTCTCTCAAATGGCATCTTCTCTTACAATCGAAACGCTTTTGTGTTGAGGGCTGGCAAAAGAGGCAAGGCTGAGAAGGTGGGAGAGTTCACTATGACCTTTGTGGAGACACCAAACCTGAGTGAGATTCATTGGGTCCCTGATCCAAGTAACCCCAATGTATATGTGCAAGATGTTGTTGTTTCTCCCTTTTCGCGAATCTTTCCACCTATGCACTGATGGTTGAGACATGAGAGCTCTGCTGGGCAAGATCTATGTGTTCATGATCATTTGTTTCATCCGAAATGAGATCTTGGAGTTCATGTTCTTTTTGTCTCGATGATTTGCTTGTTAAAATATCATTTGAGGATACTCAGATTTTTTTTTGTCAAGAGTCATGATGCAATCTCTCATTTGGTTTTGTGTATCTATATTTTGTCATATTCAAATTCAGTTTTTGCGCTGCAATATAACTTTTAGTGGGTTTTCTAAATACATGAATTTTAATTATTAACTCTAACTTACATATTATTATTGGGTAATTAACTTTATACTCAGTGAGCAAACTGTTTTGTTTTTTGCAACGGCACGGAGGAAGTACTTAGTAACTAGGTTGATAACAATTGAATTGTTGAGATCTATCGCTTTTAAGTGATAGTCTCTTAATGCCTTTCTTTTTTTGTCTGTTCCAATTTTAGGCTTAATTTCAGAGATGCAATAGACAATGTCTGAACATTGTCTCCTATTTCAGCATCACATATTTCTAAAAAAACATATCTCCAAACAAACAGTTGAGCTGTACAAATCTTAGCAGTTCTAATTTATGGCCATTTCACATAAGAGGCATTACCCATGTGGGCACATTTATGCTGAAATTTATTCAATGATGGTAGAGCTGGTTTAATTTCTGAAGGAACTGGAATTATTGCCCAATTCAAAAGTATATTCTACTCAATTGTTCTCTTTTTAAGCTAAGCAAGTAAGCATGAGACTATGAGAGACTCCTTGCTGATGGGAAGAATTCCAACACTTGTAGTAAATGTTGGAAAAATGTGTGAAAAATTGCATTAAATGGCTATTTTGGGGCAATTTTCTGAGTGGGGTCCACTTCCGATTTGGGTCGGGTCAAAGTGGTTTCGGATTGTCCTTGCTTAGGGCTACAATTCGATATATGGTACGCTCAAAACGGATAACGGGTGAATGAGAAATCGCTTTTCGAAGTTGACCCGTTAGAATGGAAAAACTGGGAAAAAGGATGGGTTTCTAGTGTTAATTTCCCACACCGGAAAACCCAAGGGATTTGCAACCCTTTATAAGGGATCTCCCCCCTTGAGGAGTTAAGATTCTTAAGGGTAAAGGCTCTCTCCACGCGCGCAGGGGGGGGGGGTGCAAATCAAATCCCGAAATCGGAGAAGAAAAACCGCGACTTGCGTGCGCGGGCGACCTGCGGACACGAATGTCGTCCAAAAATCCATCTCTCAAGAGATACGGGTAATTTTTGTTTTCTTCCCGAAACGTATATTTTTCCCAGTTAGCAGAATTGCTCCGGGCAGAAGGCCACGACCAGAGGTGCTCCGGTTCTGATGGCCGCGCATCAGAACTGCTCCAGTTCTGATGGCCTTCGGGCAGAGATGCTCCGGTTCTGATAACCGCGCATCAGAATTGCTCCAGTTCTGATGGCCTTCGGGCAGAACTACGTAGGGGTCTTCTGATGGCTTCTGAACCGTTACAGCAATAAATGCCCAACGTTTATATCTTTTAATGCAGCGTTAAATGGACAGTTCATGGACGATTCAATGCCCAACGGACTGGTCATTGATGTCCAACGTTCAGGTCCATTAATTCACTATTTTCATGCAACAAATCCTCCTATATAAAGGCTGGCAGGTGGTTTGCAACAACACAAGTTCTTACACGATTTTACACGAATCCATACACGTTTTAGCTCTAAAAACACACTGCTAGCACTCTGAAAATTCCTTCTGTGTTCAGTCTTTGTTCTCGTTCGCTGGAACTTTTGTTTGAGTGCTCAAACACTAGTTCGTTGTCATCGTATCCTGGGAAACTATTGTTGCAACGCTCCTAGCACCGTGGGAGGCAACAAATACGTTTTAAGGACATCGTGCGTAGCACGAGCTTTGACAAATTCTGCTTCATCTCCTTTCTTGTTTTTCTTTCGTCATTTTATTTAATTAATTTATTTTAATTAATTTTTCTTTATTTTCCGAAACACACCCAACAGTAAATCCTGTACATATTTTGCGTTTTAAGCTGTGCATTTCTAGAATGAAAGGTGAGATAATCTCAGGGTGGGGGTATGGTGAGATTGCTCACTTGAACATCTTATCATCTCACTCTTTCACTGGAAATTGACACTTCCAAAGAGTTGAGTTTGTTTTGGTTTGATTTTTTATTTTTCTATTTTTGATATTCTCTGTTTAAACTTGAACTCAATATATTTTAAATTATTTTACAGATATTATAAAATCAAAATCTTTGGTAGAAAATATTTTTAAATATTGTAACTGCATCGCGCAATTGGTGTATTTAATTGTTAAACTCATTGCAACAACTAGCTTTTCACCGGGTCACTTTTATCTCATAAGCTATAGGCAGTCATAATGCACAAACTTTACAAAAAATAGCAGAAGGCTTCTCTATACTACACTACTAGGCTTGGAATCATCAAGGTAGTGCTGATAAACATAAGAAAGGAATCCCCATAGCGCAAGGAGCAAAGCAATGACCTTAACTCCATCCATCTTGTCACCAAACAATATGACAGCCAGAATAGGAACAATAGGCAAACCAATTGTACTAATGACATTGGAGAACAAAGAAGAAACCTCAAATACTAATCCCAACAAACCAACAGAACATATTTGCCAAGACAAAGCTGTCCAAACCAGTGTCATAACATATGACACCTTCCCCTTCCCAAAACCATCCATCTCCCCCTTCAAACTCCACTCCCCGCTAGCAAAAAGCCCAACCACGCAGCAGCAAGACGCTATGAATGACGGGTAAACTTGCATGTTCAAGACCACACCAAACGTTTCCCTCTTGATCACCTTCTTGAACGACAGTTCCTGTAAATGACATAACAGTGAACAAATACTTCATGAACAAATACTTCATATCTTCTCTAGAGAAAGTCATATTTGAGTCATATGAATAATACAAAAATCTTGTAAGTCTTAGTCAACTCAATCATGATCTAAAGTGGAACATTTATAGGTGAGTTAAATTGACTTTAAAGCACAAGACAAACCATGAGGGAAAGGTATAGGGAGTAGGCAGCAGAGGCGCCCACCGTACACAAGAAGCCCACGACGTACTTCCCCCTCGGGACTCTGGACGCCGTGGCATCGTCGGAGTGGACAGCGAGAAGGGCGGCGGACACCGTGACGAGGACGACGGAGTTGAGCACCAAGGGGGTGAACCTATGGGCATTGATAAGGAAGGAGAAGAGGGCATTGAAGGCCAGCTGGGTGGCACAGAGGAGGGAATAGGTGGACACAGGGAGGAAGAGGAGGCCGTATGAATACATCATGTTGTCGGCGGTCAAGAGCAGGCCGAAGAACACGTAAAGGGACAGCAGCCATGTCCTTCTGATTCTAGTACGAGGTTGTCCTGTTCTTGATGATGAAGACTTTGCTGAGAAGAAGAAGATGAGTGGGACCAAGGCCGGGAAGCCGGCGGATTGAACCAGCGTCGCCATCCACTTGCTGTTCCCTCCTTTGTCGAAGTAAAACCGCCCTAGCAGCGTGGCGGTGGACTGGCCGGCGACCAGAAAAATGATGTACACACCAATCCTCAACCACCATGTATATTTCTTGCTCCTTCTTGGTGATGATGAAAGCTCCATCTGGTGATTACTAGGATCATTGCCTTACCCAAAAAACAACATCATAAATCCAGCAGATATTCAGCTCAGATGAATTAATAATACGAAGTATATTATTGCAGATTAATGGAATGGAACTGAGGAAAAAATAATGTTCTAGTCAGAATGAGTAACCTTGGTTCTGGAGTTCAACTTCTTGAGAGGTATCCATGAAACTGGAGCAAAGCTTGCTAGGCTAGGTATGTAGGATTCTTTTAAGTTTGATTTATAAACTAAGATTTGGTCAACCATCAACATCATAAACAAAAAAAATGGTCAAACACGTACAGCCTTCTTGTGGCTCTATGTATCCCAATATTAGCATGAATTTTCTGTTTTTTCGTTTTAAGGGAAATGATTTTGCGTTGGATATCATTTTTATCTCCTATCAACAAATTGTTACCACATTATTTACAACTGATACGAAGTACTATCGTATATGACAGTAAATATATTAGATGAAAAAAGTGATTTTTATATATAGCGATGACTAGAGAATTGTGTTACATTTACAATTCAATTATTCAAATGACCAAGAGGTCCAAGATAGTGCACTTGTAAAAATCTTTATCACATTTTTCTCTAAAATTTATGCTCTGTATTTCATTAATATATTAAGAAAACCCCTGTTGCTCATGTAAAGTCAAACACAGTTAATATGAGATGAAAAAAGGATTATCATTACCATAAGAAGATTGTTTTGTATAGATATATTCTACTATAAGATATGGTGTGAAGGCGTGAAGCACACATTATCCATTAGAGAGATTTGAAGTTCAATTGTCTCTCTCGTATGGAGAAACCTTAACTTTTTTTTGTATGAGGTAATTAATTTGATATAATTGCTCGAATAAGAGTAAAATATTGCCTAAGTTCTCAAATGAGAAATTGCCTCATATAGGAGTAAAATATGATAGAAATTCTAAAATAGGAGCATCTATGTTTTTTTCCCCAAATAGGTCCACATTACTCATATTCAAAACATACATACTATTCAATTCCATTCTTGCCCCTGCTATGTTTAACCCACCAACTTCCACTCACGTCTTCTCTTTCCTTCCTGCGCACCATTGTCTCCCATTCTCCATCGATAAATTTCTTCTCCTCTCCAAATCAGATCTGTCGGCCTCTTCTCCTCTGCAAATCAGGTTTCTTTCTCTTCCAACCCCCCCATCTTCCTCCTCCTTTCTTCTTCTTTTCTTCTTCCTCCTCCTCCTCCTCCTCCTCATATTATTCTATTTTTTTTTATTTTCTTCTTTTTCTCTGTTTTTTGAGTTTTGGCATTGGATATGTTGGTTTCTGGAATTCAATTTCGTATTTCCATTTTTTAATTTCTCAATTTTCCCGATTTTCTCAATTTTTGGATGATGGCATAAGTTTTTGCCAAGTTTATGGCAGAAATGTACACTAACAATGAATCGTATTATGATGATGAAATTTTGGTGTAAACTAGTTTATCGTATTTTCATCATTAAAATCTTATTTCTGATTGAGGTGGATTTGTTAAACTGATTGTTCCATTTTGTTAAACCGGATATTTAGTTGTTGACTTCATATTTTTCCAAAATTATGGCAGTTTTGTGCAAATCTTCCAAGATAAATCTGCCAACATTATGACAAATTTAAAAATTCATTTTCTTGGCAGATTAATGACGCCGGAGTTGTGAAGGCGACGTTGATGCTTAGAGGTGAAGCAGTGACCCCGAAATTGACACTTGCGTCGTAGATTGGGCGGCACTAGCGGCAGGGGACAGTGGTGGCAGGCTAGCAACAACCAATAGCGATGGTGGTTTGGTGGCAACGGATGAAGATGTCAGTGTAGGAGGAGGAGGCGGGCGACACCAGCGATTATAGTGAAGTCCTGGCACCATCGAGGGTGGTTGAAGTTCTAAGCCAATACTATTTGGACTCTTCAATGTTTGTTGAAGAATGACTTACGTGACTACTGCTATTCAAGGGCCGACCAACATATGCGAATTTATTAGAAGGTTATTTTTGTCTACTTGTTCTTAAAAGGCTCCTATCAAACATGAGTTAGGTGACTACTCCTATTTTGGCAAAATGTAAACCTTTTACTCCTATATTGGTAATTAACTCTTCTCAAATTCTAGTAGATGTGTTTTATTTTTTAAATAGGACTTTACAATAGTATTACACTTCTTATAATACAAAATACTTCCTCCGTTCCTCAATACTTTGTCAAAGTTGACCGGCACATGGATTAAAAAAGTAAGAACTGTGTGGTTGAAGTTTGTACAGAGGAGAGAGAATTAACTTAAACCACAAATTCTTTACTTAAAAAGAAAATGGCAAAGTTAGTGGAATATACACAAAAGGAAAATTGGCAAAGTTATAAAGGATGAAGGAAATATGATATAGAAACTCTATTTGACTGTTTACGTTCATGCTTACGCATACGACCTTGTGTGAGACTGAGGAGCGTCAATTGGCTTGCAATCTTGCATCTTCTTGTTAAGTTGAAAAATTAAAAGGCTAATTCAGCTGTAACTACAAGGTACCATACTTTGTCTACATAAAATCATTAGGGTATGTTTGGTTCACGGAATGTCAGATTACCATGGGAATGTCAGATTACTGGGTATGTTAGATTGATGAGAATGTGATTAATATGTAACTCGTTTGTGTTTGGTTATGATTAAGGGAATGATACACTAAGTTGTTTGGTTGGATGATATCTTATATGGCATATTTGGTGTATTACTTAAATGCCCTTTAAATATTTGTCTCTTAACACATTAAACTTATTAAACCTATAATTAAACTAATTAAAATTATAGAAAAATAAAACATCGTAATAATAATTAAAATAAAAAATAATTGGATTAATTTTAAGCTAAGTATGTAACATTCCCAAAAAAACCAAACCCGCGAACCAAACACAGATATCTCACATTCCAGACATCAGATTCCGACATGTATCTTATATTACCTTCAACCAAACACTGCCTTAGGGTATAGAATAACTTAAATATTAATAAATGATGAAACAATAATTATAGACTCAGTACACTCAATCATTTGTGAGGTACCGTAGCACTACCAATTAAAAATGGACGCTCTTTTCATTTTCTTCTTCTTCACTTGGTAGTAAAAACGAATTTTTACAGATTCATTTAAGTAGAGGGCCTAAATACAATTGAACTCATTTCCCTATAGTAGCTTATTGTGAGTCTAATAAAAAAGCTAGTTCTTACTACCTAAATACAAAAGGAACAACATCCACCCAGGGATGGATTTGGGGGGCAACCGCCCCCTTGGACTTTCAAAATTTTCTACCTAATATTTTCATAAAACTTTCATAATTTAATTAGATTCGCTCCCTTATCTTTTAATTTTCAAAATTATTATATAGTGTTACATAATGTAATACTTAATTGAAGATTTAAAAGAAGGAACATCTAAAATAATTACATAACTTAAACAAATAAACAATAGAATAACTCGTTGTTTAAGATTTAGGATACTTATTACGTAGTATATAAGAATTCTTAGTTTTGTAGTGTTTAATTATCTTTATTAGATAACAAGTACTTGATTTTGTAAAATATATATCAAATAATAATAAATATCAGACACACTAATTACACAGTTTTTAGATCACGTGTGTTGAGGTTTATTCCTTCAACCCTTGGACCCAACACGTAAGCCCAAAGATTTCGAGTGGAGTGAGTGTGTGGTTATCTAGCCCAACAACTATCAGATGAATCAGGAAACAAGAGTAATAGCAGGCAATGTAAATAGGTATTATTAACTTCGTAATAACTCCCCTAAGTACAATCTACTTGCTAAAAAGGGCACGTCGGCCGTTCGTCTTACAAGGCGATAGAAATGCTACTCGTAAGAATGCTGGAGCTAGTATGCTAAGAATAGAAAGTTGCCAACCCTTTACAATGAAATAAATGCTTCTATTTATACCCGCCAGTGGGCAGGTGGCTGTACTGACGTGGCAGCCTGTGGACCGCTGGTGTCCCAACTACCAAATCTTTAGCATTAAATGCACTTCCCGCCAGAATCTAGGTTTCCCGCCGGAATAGTGGGGACGTTCGTCCACCCGGGAAGTGAGTTGGATTCCTCCAAGTGACCCTTGAGGGATATTGGCTGTTCGTCTCCTGGCCTTGATGGATTCTCACCATGTGGGCTGGGTCTCCTCCGATGACTATGGGCTTGCTCAGGAGACGTTCGTCGTCACCCCTGATGGCCCGTGGCTCCGCTCCTTGTCCCTGCTTAGACGTTCGTCGGGATGAGCCGCTGGGCCTGAGTCCTCCAACACCAGACGTTCGTCCATGCTTAAAGTACATGGGCCTGTGGGCTGGCCTAGTTTCTAGCTGGACGGTCGTCTGGCAAAATGGGTTAGTGGGCCGGACCTCGGCTTGGGCCCTTAACCCAACACAAGTCCCCCACTTCTGATGTTCTGAGCATGCGCAGGACATAAGGAAGTATGAACCTCCCCGAAGTAGACGTCCGTATTTTGGCACTTGTGTTCATTGCATCTTGGCGGAATCGTACGCTCGTGGCCATGGTGCTTGACAGCTGTTGACGGTTCAGGAAACGAGGTGACGGCTGATGTTGCGGCGGCGCATTTTCCCGAGGAAGTGTCATCATTACGTTCCCATCCCACGCACAGCGCGTGGCCGGGGTACGCTCCTTGCCACGTGTCGGCCCCTTGTTGGCTTCGCCATCGGTGTTTTCTCCTTTAAATACCGGGTTTTCCCTCTGAATTAGGGTTCCCAATTTCTGCTCTCTTGCTCCCGATTTTCCGCAGCTCTTCAAGTCTTCTTCTGAATCCGGCTAACCCCTTTGTAAGGTAATTTCCCCCCTCTGCTCCTTTTCTTGTTCTGATTCCTAGCCGAAATGACCTCGATGGAGATTTCGTCAAGCTCTGATTCCGGTTCGTCGGGTTCCTCCTCGGGCTCCTCTTCGGCCGATGTGAGTGCTCGCTCCCCTGGGAAGGCCAGCATTTCCGGGACCTCTGGTTCAGCCACGACGGTGGGGACCATCCGGGCTGATGGCGAGCCGGATAATGTGTCGCAAAGTAGTGGGAGCGACGCCGGGGACGGGGGTGCTGACGGGGCCGTAGATGTTATTGACGCCGTCCCCCTGAACGAGCGCCCCGCCGGTTATGATTCTGCAGACGAGGCCCAATCTGGCTCCGACCTGGAGGTGCACGATTTA